AAGTTAGAAACTTTGAGTTTTATGGATTTTGTTGCAGTATGAACTATATTATTATTAAAAATTTGTAAATTTTAAATAAAACAAAATATTGAAAAAAATTTACTGTACGATTTTGACAGTCACTCACTGTACACAGAGTTGGGCAAAATTTATTCGAATGACGGATAACAAATTAATAAATTGTTTTTCTCGTTATTCGTAAATAACAAATAACTTTGTTTATTCAAAGAAAAATTATTCGAATAATGGATAAATTATTTTATTCGAATAACTATTATTTTCATTTATTATTCCATCAACGAATCAAATAATAATAAAACAAGTAATCTATGTATATAGGTATGTACATATATTTATGTATAAAATGATAGCCGTTTTCGTTGTTCGGAATTAACTCAAAACCCTGGATAGATTTTACGGATAAAATTTTATTCGAATAATTATCTAAATAACAATTTATTCGAATAATGCCCAACTCTGACTGTACATATGCACATGCTGGCAAATAGAACCACTTCACACATAATATGTACATACATACATATACGCCTAGGTTATTGAAACCGTTTAATTGAACATTTTCTATAAATGTCAAATAAAGTATTTACATGCATATATTTGAATAGTTCCCGCAGTAGAGCTGCAAAACTATCGACTTGTGATGCCATTCGATAGTATCGTATACTATCGTGTTGTATATAATAGTTGTATAGGGAAACTTCAACTCCGAACAAAATGTGTATAATATATACATATTACATATGTAAATGTAAATATTGCACATATGTAAGTATAAATTTTTATATCTTATATTAATGAAAAAGAGCTTTTTGGAAAACACAATCGTCCACATTGAACATTTGAAGTTAACTTTGACGGTTGGTTCTTTACCAATAAAAATTCGAAAATAAATATTCTAAATCAAGTTTTTGGGTTTCAATTTGTTTTGTGCGAATGTCTGCTTCATGATAATAACGCATACGGATTACTTAGAGACTTCAAAATGTTTAGTTCGTATGCACTATTTATCTCTGCGTGCGATGAGACCTCATGGCAAATAACTAATTACCGCCTTGGCCTCTTTTTTGGCGGCCAGACATGCATACAATTTTGATATTTTTTGATAATTTTTAATATTTATCATTTTTCAGAATATAAATTTTTTGAACGTTGGCTGGCGTGTCAAATGAAAGCTTTTGGGTATTTCTGATTGGCCGGAGCCGAAAGCTTTCTGATACAATTCTGCTCTGAACTGGTTTTCAAACGAGTTAAATGATTTAACTGGTTCAATTTTCCAACAACAATTGCATGCGATTTAACTTGTTTATGAACGTGTTTTGTTCATTTAACTGGTTCAAGCCCATTTAACATGTTTGGCTCGTCAACTTGAACGTAGTATTGAACGTGAAATTCTAAGTGTTTTTCTTAGTTAGTTAAATTCACAGCGTCACTTATTTATGTACAGATCACAAAAATTCAATACACCCACACTATCGAAACTATCGACTATGGCCCGAAAACAATCGATGTTTTTCCAAAACTAAAAAAAATGTCGATACTATCGATAGTACAACCGATAGTTTTGCAGCTCTATCCCGCAGTGTAAAGACCATACTAGTGATATTTACCAATATTGTAGTCATGCATACATAAAAATGGAAACAATTATTGTTTGTGTTACTAAAAAGTATGTGAGTTAAAGAGTTTTAGTAGAAAAATGTTATATAATGATTTAGCAGTAATGTAGCGACGGAGAAAGTAACGTCATTTTTCTAGCTGATGTCAATATTGTCATCGTAGATTTGGTAAATGAATGAGTACCCTAGCAGCGGAGGAAAAACAAGTGGACCAATAAATCGGATACAAATAACGGAATCAAGTATATATATATACTACATACATTCATACAGATCTGTAAATGCAGTTTTGTTTTTAAAAACCCGCAAAGGGAATAAATAAAACCAGCCGGCTACGCAACTATCAGTGCAAGGATCCAACAACATAATCTGAAATCAACCATCTGAAAAAGAGGTCATAGGTACCAATCCAGCGTTGCAATTATGGCGCAATAAAGTGCATTTGACATAAAAGATTACGTTATAGACCAATGCTGTCAGTGTACATAATACACATGTATCCACATACATACATATGTGTAAAATAAACTTAAACTCTCATCGTTTGCGTAAATGATTATGCATATATACATACACAGACATACTTTTGTATGTTATTGTTGTTGCTGGATTTATTCATATTATTTATTTCAGAGAAAATACAGATATACACTAAGGCTTAAAATATTTAGCGACGTGCTTATGAAATAATGAGAACATACAACTTACCCCCCTATTCTAAGGGCCAATTTCACAGTGCGTAGTTAACTCAGAATCAGCAGTTAATTGCAGATTTTTGTACTGAAAATCTCTAGTTAACGCCGATTCTGAATTAACTGCGCACTGTGAAATTGGCCCTAACAATGAAACAAAACTCAGCGCACCACTATTGTGATTTCTGCTGCGCTTGAAAATCTGCCACAAAAAATAGATTTTAAGTGCTAATGAAGTGCACTAAAATTTTGAATTTTATTTTGTAGCGGCATGTTTGCTTTAGGGGCATACTTTGAGGCGCAGTATTTATCACAATAGTGATCCACTGAATTGTTTGGTCTTGTTAGAATAGGGGGAATAGACAGACGAATGTCGCTAGTCGGAAAAGAAGTAAGACAAATTATAATAATCTGCACTAAATACACACACTTAAACATATTATGAAAACTATTTTATTAAGAACTCTTTATACTTAAGGCACGCGTTGAGATAAGGATATTAAGCTTAAAAGAATTTGCCGTTCGTAAGGCACACTACCTTAGCCAGGTCTAAATGCGATACCGCAAAGAATTTCAGATGTATATCTTTATAGATCGGACATCTGGGCTTGTCATGTGATTGGTGTTCTCTTCAGCCCCTAAGTTGCAAACTGAACATGAAATGGGGTCGACTCTCTTAAAGGATATTGCTTGGAGGGTTGGGAAAATTAGATATCTGTGAGATGTACATATGGATTTAAGTCATGTTTTGTAGAGTTTAGGACGCTTTCGTAAAACAACGCAAATTCATTATCAGCACTTTTTTCTGGCAATAGCGGTATGTGTGACCTTAGAGAATCGGGGTAAACTCAGTCTACGGGTCGGGGCCAACATTACGAGACAGAACACTCCATACTTATGTATGTATGCATATATGGACGGAAATCTAAGCAAATACATGTTTTTATTGGATACACGAAAACGAAACTTAAAATTATCTCAATACCTTCTATCTGAAATTTTCACAAAAAATACTTTGTGATGTTAGAACCCATCTGGGACTTACCTGTCTTCACTTATGTTAATTCTGACTTTGCAGTGTAATAGTAAATTCTTCTGTCAAGCGTTATACAAGGTCAGCATTAATATCACCGATGACAGTTAAGCTTAGGTGGATTTTTATATCAGAATCCCATTTTTGTGAAAAATGCCGATAGAGGGTATTGAATATAAGCCCTCGATATCTTATACGGTAGACAAACGGGCTCGATTATTTGCATAACCAGCCTTTATTTGCTTTGACTCATGCATTTTCCTCTTTGATATGCGCATAAGAAGCCGAACAAATGCACGAAATTTTTGGGAATTAACTCGGATCCGGGCAGTTTTCGTTGACAACACTGGTCAGCTGTTGTCTTTTCTACAAGTAAGCAAACAAAGCGCGCGTGTTCCGCGTCCGCAGTAGCCGAATGGTAAGAGTTACGGGATACAAGCCTGTAGCTGCAGGTTCGATCCTCGGTTGGAGCGATTGCGAAATTTTTTTTTGTTTTTATTTATTTTATATTTTTTTTATTTTATTTGATCTATATATTTAATGTTACTTTATTTTGTTTTCATTTGCTTTATTTTATATCACATTTTTTATTTTACTATCAGTTAATTTAAATTTTTAGAGTTGAATTTTAATAAAAAGTCAACAACAACTAACTGAAAGCAACGTAAGAAAAATATAGAACTTATAAAAAAAAGAATGAAAAAAAAATAAAAAAAAAAAATGAAAATTTAATTGGCCGTGGGACTCGAACCCACGACCTTGCGGCTCGTTTATCCGCATAACTGCCGTCTGTGAGGTCAAAATTATTATGCGCATATGTATGCCAGATTATATGCATAAGCTTTGCCGTCTGTCACAGCTTTTAGTCGTAAAGGCATTTCTGCATATTTCTTACGTAAAACTACCAACCGAGTACGGAGAGTGACTGCTGTTATCGTTTGTTTCCAATAGTCATGTTTCATACATGCTTAGGATGTCCTAAAACACTGTATCGAAGATCTCAAGTTTTGAAATTACACAAAAAACGCCGAAACTCGTGAACTTAAGGCCCGTCCAAATACAATTTTGGCGTTGCGTTGGCGCTGCCGCTGCCGCTGCTTTGAAAGCAGCGCAAGTAATGCCCGTTCTTACTACAATGAACGCTTAGCAGTGTATACTTTGGTCACTAAATTAACATACTACCGGCAAATAAATCAAAATTTTATATCAATAATTGCATTAAAAACAATATTTATTGCCCGAATTTGATTGAAAAGTAAAATTATTTCATATAATTTTGATTATTTTGAGCAGCTGACGAACGACGCACGTGAAAAGTTGAGAGTTGGCCATCTTTCTGTTTTGCATTTGCGTTGGCGTTGCCCAACTTTGGTTATGTAGAGCCTTTCATATAAATGCATGTATTCATAGTCAGCTGTCGAAGCGATGCCAACGCCAACGCCAACGCCAACGCCAACGCAACGCCAAAGTTGTATGTAAAGAGGCCTTAAAGATTGGCTCGCAAATTACGTATCTGTCTATGATTTTTATAGATCAGGTAATTAAGTTTACGGTTCTCGGTGTTCTCCTGTCATTTTAGCCTTCGTGCAGTGAAATTAAAGAAATTGCGGTTATTTCAGATTGATATAATAAAAAATACGCTGTACAAAATGTATGCATCGAAGAGTTTTATCCAGTACGATGTATAACTGATATAAGTAAGAATATGCACAAAAGCTTTATACCAACAAACCTACTTAAGGGCCGGATTCACAGTGCTTAGTTAAACGTTTGTTAACTTAACCACCAACACTCGTTTAACTATGAATTTATATTCAAAGTTACATAGTTAACTATGGAAATTCATATCGCCGAAAATATACAAATTCTAAAAATCAAGACTTTTCTATTCAAATTTGAAATTCGTTCCACAAAAAAAAAAAATTTATTTCACAAGGATTTAACTATGAGGGCATGCTGGTTTAAATATGCGTTTATGCATGCCTGCACCTCGATAACTTAGGACTACGTGAATCGATTTTAATGATTATTTTTCAATCGGAAACAAAGGCTTCTCTCGTTAATGAATTGAAAATGATTTGGACTAGACGTTACAAACTGCTAGCAAAGCAATGCAGACTCAGACCCTACGTCAAGCTCACAAAGCTCTATTACAGAATATTTGCGCGTAAATCACAGCCTTTCCTGCAACCTTTGACTAAACCCTGTAAAATCGGCAAATCTGTCTCATCTGGGAATAGGGTAGGGAAGTTGTGATGTCATTACAACCAAAGTTGGTATGGTATGCTACTTACATAATGGTATGCCGTTAATATACAAACATATGTATGTATATATGCATGTCAGTTTAAGGATAACTTAAGTTTCGATAAATTGCATACGATTATATTGACAATGTAATGTTATATAAAATCAAAAAAATTTTGCTAGAAATAACTCTCATTTCTTAGGAAAAAATTATATTGTTAAATGCATCAAAAATGTTATCATTGTCAACTAAGTAGTACTTTAAGATGAAACCGGAAATATGATACAGAAGAGGTGTTTTAACAAATATAGTATACGTTAGTTTAATTTTAAGTCAAAATCATACATTCTAAAAATAAAAATAGATATCGAACTAAACAATGCTTATAAACCAAACACAAGTGCAGCAATTCAACTTGAAGCTACAGAAACATTTAAAAATTCGTTTTTAGGGTGATATTCACCGGAATCTACACATTTGAATCAGCTGTTAAAGTGATGGCACGAGGTTTCATTTTATGCCCGTTTACGTATCTTAGAGATGCATGGAATTGGCTGGACTTCGTAGTAATAGCTTTAGCGTGAGTTTATAAAAAATAATATTTTAATATTTTTCAGTTTTGATTTCTAATCCATACAATTAATAGCTTTGCTTTTTCACTTTTTCGTAACTGTGATATATATTTTTTGGTGACTTATAATTAAATACATTTGTATATGCATTACTTTAGTCTCAAAACTTTATGTAATTCAAATACAACACATACATACATACTTCAGTAAAAAGTCGTTCCATCTATTCTCACATATCTACGTACATACATACATTTCCACATAATAACTTATTTCGAAACCAAATCATAGAAAAAGTTGTATATTAAATATTTAGATCTGTGTAATTCAAAGTGTGGAAACAAGAATCGTAGAATCAATATGTATTTGTTTACAAAAACATAATCGCACACTCACAGCGAATTCATATCATTTTAAGTAAATAATTTCTCTTCTATCTGCAATATACATATTAGAAAATATTACTGAAACTATAACCAATATATAACACATAATTATTTACCATTATCCATAAAAACATTATATACATATGTAGTAACTAGAACTACTTATATGTAAGTACGTACATTACACTCAGTCGGTTCGCATACGAAAGAAAATTTTTCCGACTTGGAAATTTATGTTCGAAAAATGAAGGCAAAATTTTATTTTGCTTATGACTTAATTAAACCTATATATGTAGGTAATACAAACTTTTTTGTCGCGATCCAGCCTAATGTACATGCATACACTTAATAACAAAAAATTAGGTTCACTGATAGGAACGGTTCTTCTTTGGACATCAACTTTGACATCTTCATGAACACATAATAAGCCAATTTTCAAACACATAAATGACACGGTTACAATTTTATTTACCTTTGTTTTCTTAATTGTGCTACAGACATTTCATTTGCGTGACATAAGTACATATAAGTATAAAGAAGAGCGTTTCAGCGTTTCAGAATTCGTCCTTTTTTTTGTAAGTGGCATTCATCACTATAAGAAAACGCTCACAAGTATTAAATTCAATGAGTGTGCTTTAATTACAAATTAACTAACAAAATATTTATATTTCATTCCTTCCTCTGTGTTACATACCGTTCGCGCAATGTCCCTCTAAAGTTATGTGACTATGGGTATTGATTTAGGTAACCTCGCAGCATTGAGAACGTTTAGGGTACTGCGAGCACTTAAAACCGTAGCCATCGTGCCAGGTAAATAAAGATAATAACATTAATTTTCGATAGGCTTTAAATTTCCTCGGGAAATCTGAACGTATTATCCACCCTAAAATGCCCCACTTTCTACCCATTTACTTTCAGGCTTAAAGACTATCGTCGGCGCTGTCATCGAATCAGTAAAAAATCTGCGTGATGTGATAATTTTGACAATGTTCTCGCTGTCAGTTTTCGCGCTGATGGGTCTACAAATTTACATGGGTGTTCTAACACAGAAGTGCATTAAAAAATTCCCCTTAGACGGCTCATGGGGAAATCTGACTGACGAAAACTGGGACTACCACAACCGAAACAGTTCAAATTGGTATTCAGAGGATGATGGATATTCCTTTCCGCTTTGCGGGAATATATCAGGTGCTGGGTGAGTTAAGGCCACAAATTATAAGAACAAGATATACTGAGATGATTAAAACCAATACCAATTTGATTGAGTACATGTTATTGTTTTTTCTAACCTTTTCATCTGTTCATATATAGGCAATGTAGTGATGAGTACGTGTGTCTACAGGGCTTTGGTCCTAATCCAAATTACGGATACACCAGTTTCGATTCATTCGGTTGGGCTTTCCTCTCGGCGTTCCGTCTAATGACACAGGACTTTTGGGAAGATTTGTACCAGCTCGTTCTTAGAGCGGCTGGTCCCTGGCACATGCTGTTCTTTATAGTCATCATCTTCCTAGGTTCATTCTATCTTGTGAATTTGATTTTGGCCATTGTTGCCATGTCTTATGACGAATTACAAAAGAAGGCCGAAGAAGAAGAGGCTGCCGAAGAGGAGGCGATTCGCGTAAGTAGTACTTTGCATGCGAGAAAATATTTTCAATTTTAATTTGGCACCGAGCAGCCAGGCTCGAGCAGGCCGATTAGAGTGGAAATATTTACTCAACAAAATGAATGTCTTTATTATAACCACTGTTGATGTTTAGTGTATGTATGTATTTATGTGTAAATGCTTTAATTTTGTTTAATTAACGATATACATATATTTTACCTACTATCGAACTAATAAATAAATGTAAAGAATTCATAGTGAAGTAAACCTTAACGGAGACACTGGAATCGCAGCGTGACCAATATTTAATTTATAAATTCATACGTGCGTATGAAACAACTCGTTGTAACGGCGATACTAACCTATTTTATTGAATTTTAACATTTAACTTGCGTCTTAGTTTATTATTTTTCATGCTATTTTGCCTAAAATAATACAATGCATGTAACGTACGATCCGAAAACAGATGAATGAAGACTGAGCGACGCCAACCTGACCTAATACAGCAAAGACTTTTGAACCTCAAAGGCGCAGTTATGCAAACTTAGCAATGCACTGCATAAAAGTCATCGGATGTGAAGCATAGTGATGATTATACATACATATGTACTCCACGTACAGCACGTACAACAATTACAAACATTTTTCTGTTATTCTTCTTTCTTATTTATCCCTCTCTCGCGCTCACAATCAATCGAATTCCACATTTACGTACAAATCAATAATCAAGAGACATACATATATGACATGCCGTGCGTTGGTTAATCGCTTACACGTATATCACATTCAACGGTTTCTTCAAGTGACAACTCTAACGTCTCACCATGCAATGTTAAGTATGCATAACTGAGCCTTTAATCGGACCGAAAAAAAACTGTTGTCATCCTTTATATGGTTACACGATTTTTCAAGGTTTCTTTAGCTTCGTCAAATGGACAATTTTTGATCGCTTTGGTGGCTTTGATTTTTATTTGTGTAGTACGCAAATTGACGAGTTCGAATGCTTTTTAGGTTTGAACCCCTCAACCACAATTAATATGTTCTTGTAGGAAGCGGAAGAAGCAGCGGCAGCAAAAGCTGCTAAATTGGAAGAGCGAGCAAATGCAGCAGCGCAGGCGGCAGCAGATGCAGCTGAAGCGGCTGAAGCAGCCTTGCATCCAGAGTTGGCGAAAAGCCCGACTTATTCGTGCATTAGCTATGAGCTCTTTGTCGGTGCCGAAAAGGGAAACGATGACAACAATAAGGAGAAAATGTCGATACGCAGCGTTGAAGTTGTATCGGAGTCGGTGAGCGTTATTCAAAGACAACCAGCACCTACTACAGCACCCGCTACTAAAGTCAGAAAAGTGAGCACGGTAAGTATAACGCAGCTGGCTGGTGTGCTTTGAATTTGCTTTTGTTATAATGTGTTCTGTCTGGCAATATTTTGACACTTAAATAATTAATTTCATTTTATTTACGGCGTAAATTCTTACATTTTTCATTTTCAAGATTTCTCAATTTGTTTAAATAGATTTACATATGCATTGCAATAAAATTCATATACTTTACATTTCATTAGCTGCATTTTTTTGTTAGCGAGCGACAAAAGAACGCTCAACTCGGGTAAAATTTCCTTTTATTTAGCTACTTAAGCAACCCTGCTGGTAGTTGGCGAGATACATGTGATTATTGCTAGAGACCTGTGCAACAATTAAAATTAAAAAAAAAAATTGATTTAGACAATTTTTGTAGTGCTTATGAAGCAAAATGTTGGATTTTTTTTTCATGCATTTTGAACATATTTTCCACAAAACTAAGTCTTTTTTGCTTTCTGTTTGATCTATAATATGCTTCTCAGTTTCTTCAATAAATTTCATTTGAAAAGAAAACAATCATAATACAAAACTTGCGTTTTCCAGCTTAATATTAATTTACTTCTCATTTCTTATGTACAAATTTTTTCAGTGTTGGGTTTGAAGAAAAATTGAAAAAGAAATTATAAAAATATGGAAAAAAATATAATTTTGAAATGTTAGTTATGAAAAGTTTTAAGTAAAAAAATTAAATAAATTTAATTAATGATTTAGCCAGTTGCCGTTTAGCAGGCGGCTGTGGATCAACATCACTGCTCTCTCTAATATCTTGGTCATCGTCATCATCATCAGAAAGGTCGACAATTTCGTCCAACAGATATTCTGGAATTTCATCTTTGTCTTCCCCTTCTTCCTCTTTTTCCTCGTCTTCCTCTTCTTCAAAGGTGTTTTTATACCACCAACAAATTTCAGCGAGTATTGCATCTGGAGATTTCTGTCCTCTGTACCTGAAACGAAAATAGTTTTCAATCGTTAACATGTTTAAATTGTGCACTCTGACAAAGATATTAGAAAAATGTAGGAATTCAAAATATGCACACTTTATAGTTACCTTATTTCAAATGGAAGCGCAGTTTGGTGATAACTTTCGCCTTGCTCATCAGATTCAGTTGGCAACTGTTGAGCGAGTTGATCAAGATGCTGATGCAAGAGATGAATTTTGTACGACATATTAACCCCAATTTCATCGAAAGCTGCCAACATCTTTCTTCAAAACCAACACTGAAAAAATTTGTACATTAGAAATGAGAAGTAAATTAATATTAAGCTGGAAAACGCAAGTTTTGTATTATGATTGTTTTCTTTTCAAATGAAATTTATTGAAGAAACTGAGAAGCATATTATAGATCAAACAGAAAGCAACAAAGACTTAGGCACTCGGCACATTACGCGCCTAATCAAAGTAGAGTAATCGTTTCGTCATAACGGAACGAATGCATGACGACTCGACTTCTGTATACTTGCACGCCGTGCATAAGTCACCAGCTAATAAACACTTTCTACACATAACACATTTTCTGGCCGTTCTTTCGCAACTACGCACTTCTGCAAATATTTCTGCTCCGAAATATTGCATAAACGCTTGTGGTTTAATACAACTTGCACGAATTTTAGCACGCAATCATTCATTTTCAATTATTTTCTATTGAATTGACAAATAAATTTTACTTCCAACACAAAAAGTAAACAAATGATGATTTCAAAACTGAAAGCGCCTTACAATGTTGGGCGCTTCGATTCATGAATCTTTTATGATTAGGCGAAAACAAGATTTTGAATCGTAATGTACAGAGCTTCATTGAAATACATGTGTTCGGCATAAAAGCTTTATACTCTAGTATGCTGAAACGATTGCACTACTATGATTAGGATCTTAATGTGCGGAGTGCCTTAGTTTTGTGGAAAATATGTTCAAAAAGCATGAAAAAAAAATTCCAACATTTTGCTTCATAAGCACTATAAAAATTTTCTAAATCAATTTTTTTTTTAATTTCAATTGTTGCACAGGTCTCTAGCAATAATTTGGCTTTAACAGATTGAAAAAATATCAATTAATCGCCAAGTTATAGCCAAAAAACCATATAAACAATATGCTGAAAATCGGCATTTGACTGCAAAGTTCGAAGGTCGATTAAAAAAAAAATCGAACAAACATAAACAAACGCCGCGATACGGGTCTTCTAATTTAGCCTCTATTTTCACCCCTCACTCTCAGAATCGACCTAACTTTTGCTAACCTGAATTTGTTCCACAGTGTTATGCGAGGTATTTGCGTAATATATATACTTATTTAAAATGTAAGTAATGTATATACGAAAACCAAAAATTTCCCTTTCCACTTTCCCGTTAACAATTCGCAATAGAGCAGTTTTTTCACATAACAACACTACTCTTCAGGCCGCGTATTTTTTAACATACCTGGCTGAACTCGCATAAATAGCCGAGTTTGTGTTGTTGCTTTGCGTGTATTTCGTCATTTAAGCGAGTGTTCTTTTGTAGCTCGGTTGCAAAAGAATGGACCTATTATTAAATTGCATTTCAATGTTACTTGGTTCCTTGTTCAGTTGAGACATATACATAGTATTTATACCGTGGGACAATAAATTTTACACACACAAAAATCAATATATTCGCGAAACCATGGGCCGAATATAGTAAAACTGCATTTTTAGTTTTTTCTAAATGACGCCAGAATTTTTTTTAAAAGGACTTTGAAATTTGAAAAAAAATTTACTACTTCACAAATTATTAAAAAAATAGGTATCAAATTAAAGAGAAAATCCTGTAGAATTGAAGCTGATTAAATTTTTTCGTTTATTATTGGATGCTCCTGAATTCGCTACTTTTTGTAATCGATAAGCCATCCCTTGAAGGTATGCAACAATTATCACAAAAAAAAAAAAATCAAGTTGCTAATGAAGAAAATCGATGGGTAAATACGAATTAATAAGAGTCAAATGAAAATGCGCAAACATTTTTTGTATGAAATATGAGTAGAAATGCGTGTTACTTAGGTGTACGCGGCGTATAAGTAACATTCTGTCGTGCTCAATTTTCATACAAAAAATCTTGCGCATTATTAATTGACCACTCATTATTTCGTATTTATCCATCGATTTTCTTCATCAGTAACTTGATTTTTTTTTTTTGTAGCACAACAGGCTTTAGTAAAAATGCAAAAATTTGGCACAGAACCTGTTATTTTTTTAAATTTTTCTTCTGTTAAAGTTTGATTTTTTTTTAATTTTTTCATTAAAAAATAAAAAAAGCTGAAATCATTAACTAATTTGTCAGAAACTATAAGGCCTATCGGAAAGGTATATGTATATACGGTTAATGGGAAATTTCATTGGCTTTCATTTGCCGTATTTTAAAAGGAACCAATTTTTGCTTTAAGCTGAATAACGGTAAATTGCAAATATCTGGAAAACGTATCCATAAAAAAAATCAACTCTATTTTCGGGATTACCGAGCAATTCTACATAGGCATTGGATAGTGGCATCCATAGAACATTTTTGCTGTAAGCCAGTGTAATTTATATATATATTTTTTTATTAT